GTCTTTAGAAGTTTTTAAGTCTGTAAAAAAGAAGTTTTTGAGAAAGAAGAAGAAGTAGTATTTATTTTTTAGACTTTAGAAACTCAGAAGCTGATCAAATATCGGGTTAAATATCGGTGGGGAGGCCGATGTTCGATATTCAGTTTTAAGGCTGATACCGATAGGGGGCCGATTATATCGTGCATCCCTAAAATATATTTTTATGACAAAACAAATGCTGAACATGAGAAAAAGCACGCTGCACACAAATGGTTACAGAAAATCAAATTAATTAATAAATAATGATTATATATATATATAGAAAAAGATGAAATGATTGAAAAAAAATGCAAAAATATATATATAGAAAAAGATGAAATGATTGAAAAAAAATGCAAAAAAAATAAAAACGCGCAACTAAAGTTGGAGCAGAAACTTTATTTATAAAGTTGTTATAAAGGTATAAAAATCTCTTATTTGAGGACTATAGAACCTCATAGCTTTATAGTTTAATGAGTTTTAACTAACGATAAGCAGCCTTCTGGTATTGATTAGCGAACCTTTTTAATTGAAACTAGCCTACTGCGAGTCTTCGCTCTGTAACAACAACCGCACCGAAGATTGTTGGCATCAGGATGACCTAGAAATGCAGATGACTTTATTTTAGTTTGGCTTCTGGTCAGCCCAGAATAAATTATGTGGAGCTTCACTTAATCAGAAAGATTGTAGTCTTAGATCTGAGAAAATTAAATTTAAAATATGTTTATATCTATATGATAGCATTAAATGTATAATCAAATAATTTTTTTGTGAAACTGGATGATCCAGATGCTCATTAAAGTGCGTCCTCGTTGATTCAGGTAGAAACGTTCAAACCTGGTCTGGCATCCAGATGAACCTTCAGCTACCTGTGGGGGTTTGACTGATTTGCTATGAAACACTCGGCTAACCAACATATGCAGTCTGACAGGTTCCAGTTCAGGAGGAAGGAGGGGAAGAAATGGATTTCTCAACACGCCCTACCTGTCTCTCTATTTCTCTGTAAAAAAAACATGTTCTGCTTTGCTGGTTCATTCGTTTAGTTTGAACAAAGCGTCTGAACAGAAAAGGTCATGATATATAAAACCAGTGAGTCACATTTTAGCATTTTCAGCCTGACCTCTATCAGCTCATTTATATTCATTCACTGAAACCCCAAACCTGTGTTTGCTCACATGAATTCCCTAAAAAGCAAAGTAAGTCCAAATGTTGATCTGCTCCTGGAGTCCGGGCCGTCAGATGGTTTTAAAACGGTATCAGGAGGTGTTATTCCTGAATAAACACTTGATTCTGGCTGTTTTTAGCTTAACTTATAGCTGGAGAGCAAAGTTAGAACGGAAACAAGCATCAAGGTGCATAAAAAACCTCTGCTAGCATTTCCTGTCTGCTCCTGATCAGTGATTGTAAAAGCTTAGCTCCTCCAAGCCAGTAGGTGGCGCCCTCACCCACGTTTCTCTCTTTAACACCAATCCTAAAGTCATTTTCTAAGCTCTATCATGGAGCTGTTAGGAGCTCCGCTGACTTTCACCTCCTCCACCTATTGCTGCGGAATCCTTTCATGTCAGCAATGACATCATAAGCAGAAGTAAAGTTTAAATATTTTGGACCGTCAAATTCAATAAAACAATTCTTCATTTACTATACATAGTTTTTGACATTGATTTAATTGTGCATTACTCTAGACATTCTGTGGACGTATTATAAAAAAAACTTTTGGCGTTGACCATAAAGTTGATAGAGATTGATTAGTACTAAATAATTATAAGAAAAAAGCTATAGATGTTTGAGAACTGCACAGCAGTCACCTTGTTCTCACCTTTGGGGTCGAGTTTTGGCTTGTTGACATAAAATTATTTCTGATTGGAGCACTTTATTACTGTCATCTTGTAGAGGTGCGCTTGTTTTTATGTTTGTCGTCTTTAAAACGGTCATTAAGTTTTCCAAAAAGCTGTGTATGGAAGCGTTCATGAAAACACTATAGCAGAGAATCGCCGTTCATTCTTTAACACTCTGTTTCCTTAACCATCACGACTATTTAATTCAATTCAGTTCAGTTTATTTCTATAGCGGCCTTCTGCTGAGCCCGACTGGGGTTTAAGGAGAGATACAAAAATCAGCCAGGCAGACGAGCTCCGAGCCAGCTTCCACGTCGGAGGATGAAGAGAGCACATCCAGTTAGTCACAGTCAGAGAAACAGGACTACACTGGAAAACAGGCCAAGCTCCAACATCTAGAAACAAAGGTGTTGATGGCAGCAGCACAGCTGATATTTCTCTCCAGGATGATTCTGCAGAGTGGGAGAATAGAGATAGAATGATGAAAAGGGGTCCCTATGTCCTCCAGCAGTCTAAGCCTATAGCAGCATAACTGTAGAGATAGCTCAGGATAACCTGAGACTATGATGATATTTGTTGGTTATTGGAAGCCAAGGGAAGCCAGAGCAATGTGATTGGTTAATAGGCCCAAAGGAAAGAAAACGAAATCTTAGAATCTGGAAATAAAAGAAAAAAAGTCATTTAAGTAATTCCATTGTTGGCCTGAGGGGGTGCTGTTTGCACATTCTTAGTTTGCTTTTATGCAGAAGAAATTCAGTGCAGATTTTTCCTTAATTTAGGTCTAAAGTCGCCGCTAAAACAGAGCAGCCATCATAAGTGTGTATTTTCCTTCTGAACAGCCCCATCCAGGAGCCATCAGACTGTGACAGCGCCTCAGAAAAGTTCACCGCCAGGGTTTCATTAGTCTCTCAGAGTGAGCACTCAATACGTAATTAATTAAGCGGCGTTTAATCCTCCGTTTCTCCTCACATCACTTGTGTGGATCTGAGGCTCGACCGATTGGATTAACATTGCCTCCGCCGACTTCTCTGCCAACGCTTCTGGGCTTTTTATTCCGACGTACAGAACGCCACGCCATGTGTGCTCGCGTCCTTGGGATGCGTTTCTGTTTCTCGGGCAGATTTGTCACCAGGCCCTGTGTGCGTGCCCCTCTCTGTTTTTAAAGTGCACAATGGAGCCACAGTTGAGTGCAGGCGAGCTTGATGTGATGCTATGCGGCAGCGTGGCCTGAAGCGGAGCGACGGGCGCGCGGGGTGATTACGTGAGCCGAGGAGAAGGGAGAGAGAGGGATGAATAAGGAGGGAAAGGGGCCAGAGAGAGAGAGAGAGAGCGAGGAAAGAGAGCTAACGAGGGAGGCCGGGGGTGAGGAAGGGTGAGGAAAGAGAGCTAAAGAGAGGAGGGGGGAGGGCAGGGGAAGGACAAAGCTGTTGTTACAGTCAGTGAGACATTTGATCAGTTTCTTCCTTCTATCCGAACTCGATCTGTGAGCTGCTTTGCTTT